TATTAACTGATCTCTTAAATATTATACCCTATTTTAAAAACCAAGCTAAATTTTACACATTCTATTGATATTCTGACTTAACAGAAGAAGCAAAATGGCAAACGAATTTAGCAATCATTTTGAAGTATTACTAATTTCTAAGGCCGTCTGCACAACATCAATTCTGAATCTGCAAAATAAAAATAAAAACCGAATGATTCGTTACAAGTTATTAGCGTGACGAGATTTTGGCAACGGAGATTTGTACTGGCGCAGTACCCCCCTCTTCTCAATTATTCTTTCGTTATTTTGTAATCAGAGGCCAGCGTGCTTCGTTTCAATTTACAATAACCGCCTCTGTATTGTACAGTTATTGGTAAATGTGCATATAAAAGTAATTTAGAAATATACAGTGTTCAATTTTATGAGTTATACGTGATAGTTAGTTATTGCACAAATTCTCCGTTTAGATATTAAACAAGTCACGTATCCTGAAAAAATTTTTTTTTAAAAAACTAGCACAAGAGAATATTGAGCACGTCATCCGTGGATTTCTGTTTGATTTGTGCAAATGAACTGCCCTGTGGCAAGTGTCAGCTCAGTCCGACAAAAAGATTCATATCGTACATGAACAAATAACAGATTAAAAATGTAATGTTTGTTTATTTTTCCTTTCATGAAAGACTGTACGTCCGTCTGACCACACCATTTTCGTATTTTAATTGAGGTGGCTAACTAAAGTATTTATTTACAAACAGACTTAACGGTTTTTCTCTCACTTTTAATCTTAATTAGCTGATTTTTAAACTGTTTAAAAAGTAGTGGCACTTTCTTTAACAACCAGTAACTCTGCGTTATGCCTACAAAAGTGAATGTATGTGTTTCGTATGATTCTCGCTGTAAATAGCGATTATTTACTTAAACAGAGTTAACCACTTGATTTATGTAATGGTGAAGTGTTGTGTTTTCTTCGCGGTACGGACCGAATTCTTAAATATTATTTAGACGAGCTTCTGTTTCAAAGGTAAATCTTAAAGTATAAAGCTGTTCAAGAGATGGAACCTCAAAACCGGAAATCAAATCCAAAACCTCCCAAACAATAAGCAAAATTGCTAACTACTCAGTGAAAATTTTCTCTATAAAATCATTTCAAAGTACCTAACTAATACCACATAAAACATATTAATTTAACATAGAATCTACATGGGCGTATATAGACATGTAACTTTTTCTACAGAGCTTCTTGAGAAATTAACACTCTGTGCACACTGTGTATAATGCAGAGCACATAACCTGTTCCCGTTACTGGGTCAAAATCTCGGTCCCCAGGCAAATGTGATGATACTAATTTGAATTAGGCCACGACCGCTTCGTTTGATATCCTTTCCAATTCATCACTCAAAATCAATGCATGTAAGATTTGAGGTTTTCACAGCGGTGAGTATGAATATTTCTGTCTTCTGAGTTGTTGCGTTGTGTAGTCTGGTAGACGTTAACCAACGTTTCAGAGGTCATACTGCCTCCGTCATCAGGGCGATGAATCAACCCAGAAGACAACAATCTTCAATGCATGTAGCATTCGACGTTACATAATCTGACCTACTGAGATCATCTTTATAGAAACTACAAAAAATTAATAATTGAATAATTTAATTTATTCCGCTAAACAAGGGCAAATATAGAAAAAATCTAAACGCCAACAGCACAAGAAGAACAAAAAATAAAATACGCAAATAACGTAAAAGATAAAGAAATTAAAAACAAAATTCACAATTTTGTAATTTTAGGATATTTATTTCCCAGAATTAAGCATAGTACTTAGTAGTTATTAAACACTGGTTAACAGTTTGGTGACTCTCATGTTCGCGCAAAGTCAAAGTTAAAATGGTGAAGGTAGAGGGTCATTACATATTAATGACTAAAATGATTCTTATTTAGATAGAACACAAGGCTGATATTTGTATAATAATACTTCTCATTATGATTTGATGTTAAAATTAAGAATATTAAGAGCTTAATTTAAATCTGTACTTATATTACAGATAAATAATGACGGAGAAACATAATACTATATCGAAAATTAATTTTAAATTTATTTTTGTACGTCGTTATATTGAATTTGTCAAAATTTAACAGCAAAATGACGTGGGTTATACATTTAAAACTAATCCCTTACACTCGGTGATTATTAATAACTAATCTGTAATCATATTGACATTAATGCCATCCAGAATGATTGAGTTTGCCTGCTTTAACTTTTAGCTATTACTAAAATAAAATTTACAGTAATCTATATTTGTTCCGCTGTATTACTGGAATATTAGGTGGATTTTTCTGATGCTGCTGTACCAAATAAATGAACCATTTTTCGACTTGTAGACGCCACTCTTAGCATATTTTCTCTGAATATGTCGAACGGGTTGAGTTATATCTGCAGCAGGTTGGGGGATGCTTTTAGCATATGTTGTAATAATGTAATTATAAACTTTGATTTCGCAATTAGCTTTATTTGGTATTTAGATCAAGCAGATATTAAGAAAAATTTTCAAAACCAAATACTTATTACAATTTGGGCAGCCTACTTAATATGTGACTTATATGAAACATTGTGTATACTTAAAATTAAAGATTCGGATAAGAACCAACCAATTTCATGAAGTAGAATTATTTTTGATGAGCTAACAGTTACTCAACTGGTCAATAAATTCCCGACCTCTAACGGAACCTCGAGTTTTATTTTAGACTTTACAAAAGCCCCATCACTATTCGCTGTCCTGAGGCAGATCATGTAATCCACACATTTCCAAAATATTTATTTAAACACGACTGTCTTCTGGGATATAACACTATGTATTCTGGTAGACATTGATGATGAATATTTTGACAATTCCTCATTTCCACCTAGTGGTCCGTATTCCTTCATGGTTCGGTGCTTAGACACAGGGACAACTTTACATTTTATTCGTTATAAATAAACGATTTTACACATATTTTGTCTATTAACGGACTTTATCTCTTCACTTTCTTGACATTAATGTTTCTTTTCTTAAACATCCCAGAAACCAAACTATGGTACAAAATAATATGAACACAAACATTACGCTAAATAAACAAGTAATTAATTCCTGATTGACAATTTTTCTGTTATATTTATACGATTATTAGAGAAAATTTTATATTGATTTTCTCGGTAGATATTTAAGTTACCCCGAAATATCTAATATCCGTTTACTTTACAGTAAAACAACATTCATACTTATTCGCTGGCATTATTTTCGACAGATCTGTCACAGAAGGAAACAATTTTCAGATTTGACAGTGGAAAGGAACAGAGAAGAAGAAGTTTTTGACTGAAGCCCTATCAGCCATGTTTTACGGTTCCCTCCACGAGTGTCGTCCCAACACACAACATGAGGATTACTCACTTGTGGAAGTTTCCCTGTACTCGAAACAATCTTCCCACTTCTCATCCGACATCGTAAATTACACACGGCTTAACGTCCTTTCTGGATTCGCAGCCTAAAGTACCAAAACTCTGTACAAATAAAAAGAAATCGAAGCTTGAAATCGAAGCCAAACTTCGCGCCAGTAGCTTTCGACTCTACACGCGAACAACATTTTTGGTCTCAAGCTTACGTCGTGGCTTCAAAACACATTAATCACGGAGGCGTTTTCGCACTGGTGCTATAAAGTCTATGGCTCTGAGGAAAAGCGAATGTGAAATGCTGTTTACGCGGACGTTAACGGAATTGTAATTGATAGCTGAGAATTTAAATTACTTCTGAAACAATCCTTACTTTTTTGATCTCTCATACGACCTAGAAACACAAAGATGGCTGTCTTCTGGGTTGTCGCGCCGTGTAGTCTGGTAGAAGTTTGTCAGCGTTCGAAGGTCCTTGATGCCTCCAATATTAGGGCGATAATTCCCCTGATGATGGAGGCAGCAAAGACCTCTGAAAGAGAAGACAGCCATCTCCAGACTCACCGCTGTTAAAACCTCAAATCGTACATTCTTCTGCGTCATTTAGCTATAAGGTACCGGGATGGCAGTCCTCGACACTAAGTTAGAAGGGAGTGACCATCCTCACGCTCCGGCCAATTTAAGACCTGGGATGGGAGACTGGATGGGCCCCAGAGCCGGTATGGAAGTAGAATTTCTGCTCTGCGAATAATGGAACTCCGGTAGTAAAAGCAGTATTATGAACAATTTAAAACAAATACTCAAATTCAGGATCTTGTAAAACTTAGAATGATATTTGTAGGATTTTTTAAAAATAGCTATATCTTACAGAAATTGGTGGAATAAAGCCTTGTTTATAGGAGAGGTTGAGGGTTTAAACCCTTATAAAACTTTCGAACCATGAAAGTGAGGGAGAGGGATTTTAAAAAAATGGAATTATAATAATTGGAAATAATACATTTAAATTTGTTTTCAGCCGTATAGTTAATTTCTGAGCAAACATTAAACATAAATGAGCAGATTGTTCCTCAGAAAAATTTGTATCTTTCAGAACCCACTTCAAAAACACCGACAGTTTTAGCTATTTATTCCTGTAAAGCCATTTTAATAATTATTACACTACTACTATTAAACAATGTTTTATCCAACTAGTAAAGTTTAGTTTATTCTTATAATAGATCCAAAACTAAATTCTTTATGCGTTATTTCACAAAAGTAGGGTCTGTATTGAACATACACAAATATTTGGGTTGGAGAATTCTTTCAAGTTAAACTGACAAAAATAAAAACCTGTAGATTATTTTTATAATAAAATCTTTTTGTTTTTTTAAACACCTCCGAAATTAAACCCTTTCTACTCGACCTCAGAAGTAAATGTTATAATATACAGGCCTGCATAACTAGAATTTTTATGTTATGGTATTTTATTTAATTTAAAATTCTTTCAAGCTCAAAATTCCACCGGAATTAAACACATCCCATTGCACAGTACTGTTAATGATTTTAAGGTTTCCGTGGCAATGCAGACGCCACTGTCTGACAGTGGAACTGCAGTTGTTACCTGTGGACTGGTCGGAGCGGAACAGGGTGACCGCAGCGAACAAGCGGTGGTCAGTGTCGCGGACATCTGCAGCGACCGGCCGGGACATGGGGACACACAGACACACAGACACCTCATCATGCTGTTTTACTGCGTTTTCAATATGGGTTTATCTTTTATCGGTCTTATTTGACTACGTTTCATAAACTTTGTGTACACTAAGTCTACAGATTAAAAGCGTATTGGAACAACAGTCTGAGAAAGAAATTTGGACTCAAGAAAGAAAATGTTGAAAAGCCTGTTGGAAATTATAGAACGATAAGCTTCCAGGCAGTCTCCACCAAATAAGAATAGTGTTAAAATCAATCAAGACTGATAAACTGTGCGAGACGTGTAGCATGCATGAGGGAAATAAGAAATGAATATAAAACTTTGGTTACTAATGGCATGAAGCGAAACTGCTTTGAAGTTGTAGGCACTCTTGAGAAGATAATATTAAAATTGTACGTTCAATTGTACTGCATAGAAACGTAGCAATGTTTAAATACTAAATTTAGCAAGATCATTATTACATTCTTATTTTTAAACGTGTGCTCTTGACAGCTAACATTTTGCATGTTGTCTGCTTTAGTGAGCAGACTAAATAAGCATATTAGAATTAGCAAAGACTTGCACAAAACACAAAAAGATAAGTAACTTTTCATATAACGGGTTAAGCATTTTGTTTAAGTTACAAGAGAGTAAACCATTCAAGCATTGGTATTAGTGTTGCGATAAATATGACGTCATAAAGGTGTAGGCTATATGACACTAAATCCCCATTCATTCTTATTTTCTAATGCTACTTAAACCTACGAAGTACGAAGCTGAATGAACGAGAAGAGAGGAGGAGTACTGGGAGACGCTGTGTTTAACCTGGAAAACACAGATACATTTTAGACTATGAAGGTTCCCAAGCAGTGCCCGCTCGTCCTTGTGTGAATGAGGTTAAAAAGGTAACGCTTTCGAAAGTTGAGAAGGTATAGTAATCAAAAATGGAGTAAATATAGACGTTAAATGCGGTCTTACTGCGAAATTCATATACGATTTTAAATTTTGACATTAAATTTGGGAGGGCGGTATTTGGTGACATAGACAGACTTACTGTAGTGATAAATTTTATGTTAATATTAGGAGGCTTGCATAAGAGGCGTGGAGTTTGGGTACCAACTCAGAATTTGTTCTATTACGGAGGAAAAGTACAGATAACCTTGATCAAGTTGAACGGTCGCAGGACCTTCCAGAAGCATATCGACTTGTAGCCGGAATTTAGATACGAGAACCCTAATGGTAGTCCTTATCTTTCAAGTTCACCTGAATAATATTCATAAACCCAGTTCTTACCCCAAAGAAAATATAACGCGTCCCCCATTACGAAAGCCAATTTTTTAATATCGTCTAATGAAATAATACGAAGAATCACACAAAACCCTTCATGGCAGAGTTAATGACTGTTACATTATGTGGTGCAAATAGTTACCATTGAGCTTTAAAGGGCTACAGATTTGTTCGCCTTAACCTTCAAGGGGAAAAAACGAAGGTATCATTTGGATATGATGTTAAAGCAATGGCAAAAAGAAAATGTCAGTTTGGATTCGAACCCGAGTCGTAGTCAGCCAGGAAGTTGTTAAGGATCATAAATAGCGTACGAAATAAATCCCATTCCTCTTTCGAACTAAGTTTTTAAATAAATCGATTATAAAAACTCGAAGTTGACAGAAGTAAAATCTCCTCTCCCATTACGTAAATGTTAACCTGGAAAGGATGGGCATGGTTCGATTCTGGGAATTGACAGCGATCTTTCTGTACGTCACAATTTTCAGAGTCGATACAGAGCCATTAATACCCTTATAAGAAATAACTTTAAATCTGTCTGATAGAGAAAATCAGCCGGAGCGTGAAACTGGTTCAACTTTAACTGGTGCCATGGTTAATAATAAGTACATTGTTTCTGGTTTATTAACTTGCAGCTTACATCGTTGCGAATGTTAGGATAGTTATTAATTAAAAATTCGGAAAGACGTCAACGAGACGGCGAATCAGTATTTCCTTGAAAAAAGCCCGACAGGGTCACGAAAACCATCAGGTAGTATGGAGAATCTATGAACCGAGAAGTAAACCTAAAGTAATGTAAAGTAATGCTCCTGAATATGAAGCAGACGTGTTAAATACTAAACAGCAAAGTTCCTTAAGATTAAGCGGTAACTTGCCCCCACACCTTTCTTCAATTTCATGACACAGAAAATTTTTCCATATCTTAATCTAGCAAACGGAACACTAAGTTCACTGTAAATAATCTGAGTATTAAATACTTACATGCTGAGATTTGAGGAATAAACACATTTAATAAAATCTTCTCGGGCAATCAGCCGCGTCAACTGGTTACCGTAGTAAACCGACGTTTCGTGAACAAACTCTGTCCCCATCTTCAGGGTTCTAATGTGACCGGACATCATAACCCTGAATATGGGGACAGAGTTTGTTCCCGAAACGTCGGTTTACTACGGTAACCAGTTGACGCGGCTGATTGTCCGAGAAGATTTTATTGGTTGTACTCGCCGCGAAAGTCTCAAATCCTATAATAAACAAATTTGTTTCTACCTTTCTCTGGTAACGTATACCTTTATTTTAGAGATACTTTAAATTGTCAGTTTAAAATGTCAACATACTGCACGACAAGTTTCTTTCCACACACAAAACAAAACCGATTTCAAAACGATATAATTCGTTCGTAGCATGGAAAATGTTAAAATAGCAATCTGAGATAATCTTACCGTCTTTATTCATGCCCATCTGCAAGCACTTCTTGAGTCGGCAGGCCTGACACTGATTTCGATGCGCTTTGTCGACTATGCAACGGCCCGTGCCAGCCTGACATCTGAGGACAACAGAAACAGAGAAGCTAACTACACGAACATTCAGGTTTCACTCATCTGATCCTGAAATATTCTGTGCAAGTGCGAGTCAATGATTCAGCGAGTGAGCGAACAGGACACAGGACACAGGACGAACGAGAAAACAAGCGAATAAGCGAGCTACTGAAGAAATTACTGAAATAAATGAGCGATTCATCGAGAGATTGGGATAGCGAGTGGGTGAATGAATTGGGATTCAATGGGTGATTTTGAGAATGAATGAGCGGTTGAGTTAGTGAATGAGTGGCGAGCGATTACGTGATTGGTTGAGCGAATGAGCAATTGGGCGAGTAATTTAATGAAAGATTGGGCGAGTGACGCATGTCTTATGAACTATCTACTTGACCCTTCCATACAAAATTGAGGCCATCTCGCAGTGTTAGGACGTAACAGCAGTACCTATAGCTTGTTATAGTTTCGAGAGGGGGTGAAATGAACCGAAATCCCCTTGGGGATTTTTCTCAAATCCCAAGTTGGCGGAATTCATCTGCGGGCAGGATTGGTTTTGGTCGAGTGCTTGCTGGGATTGGATGCTTTTGTAGGGATCTGGTCCAGACGGGTGAATGATTCATGACAGCATCAGTTATTGAGCCAAGCAAACCGGATTATGAAAGATCCTCCATGTCCCTTCCCCACTCCAAAGGATTTTGTCTCGATTAAATCCAGCTGATAACCCAATAGGTTCCCTTTACAAGTTCAAGTCTAACAGTTATGGTGAGTAGGACGAGGGGCGGGAAGGGGGGAGAGGAGGCAAAACTAATTGATTTGGGTTTCACCACGCGCAGACATGATACACCACTTGAAGCGATAACCAGGATGTGAGGGCGGGAGGGTTGCGAGTCAACTTACCGATATAGTCCACAATTACAGACAGCAGAAAGCTTTTAAATCACCGCGACTGGTAGCTGTTAAGATAATTAACACGGATTGATTTACAAATATATTCTATATTCCCGGCAATCAAACATAACGATATTCTGTAACAAAAACAGATTTAGTTATCGGTATATCCAAGTATTTTTTTTAATTTGTACTGTTCGTCAAATTTATTTGGGTCACCAAATCAAGGAAAATAAGATGGGAAGAGAAAGTAGAACGCATGTTAAAAATTAGAAAAATCTGAAGATCTAGACGCGGACGAAAGGTTAATATTAAATTGGATCTTAAAAAAATGGAATGAAAAAATATGGACTACATTTATAAGGCTCGGGTTAGGAACTGATGGCAGGCTATTGTGAAATTTCGAGCTTTACAAAAGGCAGGTAATTTTTCGACTACTTAAGCGAATTCCTAGTGAATGAGTCAGTCATTTGCTTTGTTTAGTCAGAGTCACTACGGTAGTTGATTCCACGCAGTATTTACCAAAAATACGTGCTCTACCCCAGGAGAAAGCCATCTTGGCGCTCATCATAGCGAAAACCTCAAATACCACCAACCTCCAGTTGCTGACAAAATTTCCCTACCTGTAGTAAAGTTTTCTCCGGACGCTACGCTTAAAGAAACCGCTGCAGCCGTTGCATGCGAGGATGCCGTAGTGCTTGCCCGAGCTCGTGTCCCCGCACACGACGCACGTCAGGCCCAGCGACGCTTTGTTCTTGACGGCGGATGGCGGCGACGACGGACAAGACACGTGACCGTGACCGGGCCCCAGCAGGAAGGAAGGAGGCGCCGGCGGGGGCGTCCGATGTGCCGACGGAGTACACGGGGGACCCAGGCAGAGCGCCAAGGGATGAGGACTCGAGGACGCCGGTGAATAACACTCTCGTTGTGACAACGGAGATGGCACAGCCTCTGAAACAATCGGACACAAAAATTCTCGCTCAAATGGCAGTCCCGTGGTGTAACTACCCTTGTGTTCCAGGCGTATAAGGGACATGGAGGCAGACACGCCTTCGAGACAAAGGCACTATACTAGCGCTGATGTATATTTATTCCTAGATCCACCTGCGTGGAACGTAGGAAGTTCCAGCTCGGACGTAAGAATGTCTTGCAGCTCCAGCTCGGATGTAAGAATGTTTTGCAACCGAAAAGTTGTTTATCGTGTTCAGAAAAACCCACCACTGGTCCCTGCCATGAGCCAAATCATCTCTCATCCTGTTTACTAATGATTTATATTCGGTACAGAAAAATATTTATCAATATAGTAATTCCGTATCAAAACATTTGCGACCTATACATTGAAAATCACCACAAACTCGATCAATGACGGACGAAAAATCGTACAGAAGATTTGTATACCCTAAGCATGACACCCATATTTCTTCTCTTGCGATTACCACTGCAAATGTTACCCATTTATAAAGAAATCATTAACTCCAACACTCTGCAGCAGTTATATGCATATATAATAATTTCCATACGTGACATACTGGTTATTTATTAATACGTTTAGCATAATAATAGGTACAACATAACCTTTATTTAAAACTACCAGCGTCAAGATTACGTTTCATCGTGCCATCTGGTGTTCAAAATAAACCTCCATCAGCAAGAACCGTAATACGAAAAGGATATCCACGGTTACCAGACACAAAACACGCAGAAGGGATTCACTAAGACTCGGCTTCTAACATAATGGCATGCATAAAGCATCCCCAGATCCGTCCCCCCTGTCTGGTTAGTTGCATAGGTTAAACCTCTGCTTCCCTCCTCAGAAAATGGCTGCTTGTACCATCTCTGTCTCTCTTCCCGATGTAACGCCATTTCACGAGTAACATTCCAGCTTTATCGGGGGGCGGGAGTGTCAATAGAGTTAGGACTCACGTTAGAAGGGACGCCTGCCGTAACTGCCTCGAATGGTCCATCACTGTTGAAGCTGGAAGCTGGGAGCGGCTGGGACTAACCTTCCACATCTTCCTTTGCCTTCCCTGTCTCCTCACCCCCGCCCCCATACTTCGCTTTATTTGTGGTGCATGTGCCAAGATTGGAGGGCAATCGAAAATTAATTATCCCCAATGGGGTCCCAGAGCTACCATTTAATCAAGCCGGAAAGGGGTCGCCCTCTTCCTGTAGAACCTACCCTCTTCCGGCACTATACACCCTCTTTCTCTGTCTTTCCCTTTTGGTTTTCGTAGTAAGCGAGGGACGGAGCAAGGGCGAACGCCGTTACGTGGTAATAGATATGCTAATGAAATCTCGCAAATTGCTCCTTTCATATATATCTGCAGAGTCGCTTCTTGTTTCTGCTTGCTGCTAGCGCCATCGTCTGTCTAGCTACAAACTTCACTCTCCATTTTGCACCTCTTCTCCGTCTTAAAACACACACACGTATGCATATACACCTCTCTCAAATTCTCATCCCCCATCTTACACCACTTTTTTATGCTGAGTGTATACTACAAGCAATCCCTTTAAACCTACCATTCCTGCCACCCACCCCATTTCCACCACCCCTAACACCCCTAAAATCCCCTCACCGTCTAAAAAACACCTCTAGCCTCCGTAAGGCAGTTCCTCATCCTAACACGGAGGATAAAAATGCGAACAAACACAGTGGATGCTGCTAAATTTTCCTTACGTGCGCTTTTCAGTGCTAACGTTACTTCTGTGCAACCTCACCCTTCACACCCCCCACACCTCCCGCAGAACTAAACAACCATAGGGCTTAAGGGAGCAAAACACACGCATGTGGCAGGCGGGTTACATAACTAATGTACTACCACAACCTGGAGCCGAAGCCATAAAAGGAAAGGAAGGTAGTTTAGCAAAATATACAGACGTAAAAGTAGGTACACCTCAGGGAGGAGGTGCTGTGCGCCTTTATAATTATGATATACAAACCCTGGGTTCATTAGTCCATATCTACTACTGGCTCATTTACACGTAAAACATAGTCTGGAAATTATTAATATTATCTCCCTCAGAAATGCTATAGCATTAATATTTACAATAAACTTATGAAATTACCTGCAGCGTATTCGAAACGCCAAAGTCCTTTATAGAAAATACTAACGTCGAAGCTAATATTCACAATTTTCGTAAGTAGATGTTTTGCAATAATCGTAATTTTTCTCAGGAACGAAAAATACTGGTTTGATATTGTTGCATGTATTCACAACTATTTTACAGTAGCCTGTCTTCAAAACTATTTTGTTTCAATTAATCTACTTAATAAAAATTTATAAGACATAATTTTCCACTAAATATTACCCCAAAATTCACTATGAATCTTTGACACTGAAATTTTTTTAAAGTAAATATAGTGAAAATTTAGTCTTATTTATTTTTATACACTAGCAAATACAACAGGACTACTTAAGTTAAACAACTCCATGGAGTACAGTCGTTCTTCCAAGTTGTCCTTTTCCTTCAAGTTTCCTGATCGAAAGTTTATACGCATTCCTCGCGTCGTTAAATAAAGCTAAATGAAATCAACCGAGGAATAGCTTTATCTTCTCTCCTTCGTCTCAACCTGTTTTCGCTTGGGCCTGTGTAGAGCGGATTGTGCCAAATGATGTGTGCTGAAGCTCCTTTTTATTGACTGTTTCCTTCCACAAGAGGAAACACGTACAGTAACGGGGTCCTGACATCACGACACGACAATGGACGGACGTCACACCACGTCCATTAACAAGGTTACACGCCACTAGTGCAATCAGGTTAGCTCTGGCTGTCAGCAGTGATCATCGGCTGCGACAAGAATGGTACTCACTTCTACTTGTTAGTGATGGGTCAGTGGACACCAGAGGGTGGTTCACAGGGGTTCCAAAAACGTGGCGCTCAACGTCGTTCAAAACTTCATATTTCCTCAACTGATAAATTCCCTACTTTCATGTGACGCAATTCTTATTGTGTTTTAAGATAGTTCTGCATACTCTAAACACATTCTCAATACAGGACATGATTACAACACAATTGATGAAACAATGCACATATTAAAAATAGTAAAAGAACAAAAAAGACAGAGATACAATAGAAAAATATCACATATATCAAACTTATAAACAAAACATATGCCTTAATGACAATAACATTTTGCTTAACAACCCCATTTTTAATGCACTCCAGTACCTTGACCCCAACCCTGACAAACCGCCTTTCACCCACTAACACCGCAGTCAATAACCAACCTCGCTCCGATACGATGTACTTCTGATCTCTCCTCTTACAACTTCGATATTACTTCTCTGGTAAGTTTATACGTTTACTTTCATTTATTTATTTTGTTTTCTATATTCAATTTCATTAATGGTTTTGAATCCTTTAATTCACAGACCAATATACGCAGCATTAACATCACTCCGACAATACGATTGTATCAATGATATATAATACAACAACAAATGCTGATACAATGTGAAAAATTAAGAAATGACACGAAAATTAAAAATTAGTAATTTAATTAAGAGTTTATAACATACACCTGATGACGGCTCTATAAAAGCCGAAACATGTCGAGAATGTTCCATATGTAAATCGAGTACTCGATACGGAACAAAGGATAATATTTTAACCATTTAATTATCTTATATTACTTTATTGTGATTGACGGACAATTTTAATATATTTTAATACTATTTTAAATAAAATCACAATATGACGCACCTACAATAACCTATGTAAGGTCTACAATTTATTTATAGATAAAACATGTTTCGATATTTATACAAAGAAGACGCCATACTGAACAACGTACACAAAATTTAATATTTCTGATACTTAACTAAACTCCGCACTATGCAGACGTATGTGGAATTTGAGGCATAGCTCCACGCACTATACAAGTGAATGATCAGCTTCACGCTCCGACCGCTTTATCCCTGATGATAAGAGTTTAGGTGGGCTCCAGAGCTGAACTGA